TCTGTGGCAGAGTGGGTGTTAGTCTTCTCAGCTACCATGTCCCCATCCCTATTTCCATCCCATCACCATGATTGTGTCAAGACTGAGGGGCCACAGGATGTCCTCTCCGGCCAGGTGTGATGGCTTACGCCTCTAATCCCAGCACTCGGGAGACCGATGGAAGACGGTCACTGTCAGTTCCAGGCCATCTTGGTCTACATAGCCAGAGCTTAAAAACGAGTCTCTGTCTCAGAAACAAACAAAAGCTCCAAAGCTGTCATATCTAAAAGCCTTCAGCTGCTTAGTTACCAAGCAGGGACCATGGACCAAATCAGGGGCACTCGTGTCCATACTGAAAGGGACCGGGAAGGGCTGATGGGAAACAAGATATGTATGCCACTTCAGGGTACTCAGCTTCACCTTGGTAGGAACCCCTCTCATAGTGCTACCGTCCACATCAGGTATCTCAGAGGATACAGCAGCCCTAGATTCTTCTGTTCTCCCTTTGTATCTTTAAATTCCCAACAAACACTGTACAGTCTTAAAGGAATACGACTTTGTCTTTTGCTTGTCCAGCCTCTCTGGCTCCTCTGTGCTGTCTCTTCTGTCCCTCATGGCCCTGGGTCCTGCCTCAAGTGCGATCCTGCTGTGGGAGGCATGCGCACAGCTGGGTGGGGCTAGCAGTTTAGAAGCTGGAGGCGGAGGCTCTGGGATGAGGCGGAATGTTCTCATCCACATTAGGTCTGCCTCTTCGGGAACTCTGAGGTGTCACTGCGGGACCACCTGCGGGCGGGGGCCTCTGAGGAGGAGCTGCTGAGAATCATTGGGGCGGCAGTGGGTAGGAAGAAGCGGCAGCACGCAGGTAAGGGCTGGGCAGGGGTGGGCGGGGCCAGTGGGAGGAAGCTGGAAGGAGGCGGGCAGGTGGAAGGATAAAGCCGCCTGGGCCGAGGCTGCCCGTCCTAAGTGTAGGTCTGGCCTCTGTCCGTTCCCATTGGAACTCTGGACTTAAGGCATGGTAGTGGTGGTTCTTCTTTGAGGATATTAACATAGCATCGGCAACAGGGAATCCCAAAATTCTCCAGGACTGTTTTATCAGGCTAAGAGACATCACTGGCTCCCTGGAGTCCCATGCATTGTCTTTGGGAGAGGAGTGAATAGCAGGTCCCTGGGCATTTCCAGAGGGATGCACATGAGGGTATTGACAGGACGCCTGTGACCGTGCACAGGACTTTTGGGGCACATTCATCCACCCATGTGTTTCACTCTTGTCTCTTCTCCCTTGCTTTCCTCCCTGCCCATCCCTCCCTAATGCCAGGCATGTTCAATATTGCCCAGATGAAGAACCGGCCCATGATCCTCATCGGTGGGTGATCTATCAGTACGTAACTACTCACCCTTATCATTTGAGGGGGTCCTGTGGGATGGGGGTGAGCCCCCTCTGTGAGGCAATCCCTGCTCTGCCCCTTAATAGTCCTCTTTTTTTAAAGAATCTTTTCCTAAACCTTCCACATCTGCTATTTCCTGCCCACAGCAAGCCCCTTGTCTTCAGACTATAGAATGGCAGAACCCTCTCTGGAAGTCAGGGCAGGGGCTTCTACAGACCTGATGCTCACTGAGTTAGCTCTTCCCAGAGAGTGGAGCTCCTCAGCTCTAGAATCTCCCAACAGGACACACATGTCCCTTCTCTGCCATGTGGGGTGCCTGTGCATGTGTGTGGCCCCTCCGTTGTCTCAAGCAGGCATATGTCGAGGCCGCTCTCAGACCATGCAGGATTTGAACTTGCCAGTTCCTTAACTCCAGGGACTGTAGGCACAGGGTGCATGTATCTCATGTATAGGATGTGTCTTCAAGTGAAGACATAACTTCATAAAGCCCGGAGTAGTGTCCTGTCCTGGGGAACTGAGTTGGTCCCTGGGCATCCCTAGGAAGGATGCTCTCCTCAGTGCCAGATGGCACCAGATGAAGCCTGACTCCCTAGGTCACACCCACCCTTCTGAATTAGAACATTGGAACAGAAAAACCACTAGGCAAACCTGAAGGGAATAGTTCCTTCCTCTAAAGCTTGGAGAAAAGTGGCCCCAGAAGCTGAGAACAAAGTAGATTCCATGGGCCAGAGATAGCCCAATGTCCACCCCAGCACAGCGGCCACCCAGAGTAGAAGAGATAGGTGACAAAGAAGCATTCCCCTGGGGAAGGCATCTTAGTCATCTCTCTTCCCCGTTATCTTCCCAGCACTGGGTCTTAGTCTCGGTTTATACATCTTCAGGAATGGAAATGCCTTGATGGGCTTCCCCCTGACAGACAAGGGTGAGGCTCAGAGTATGCCAGAAAAGGAGACATTAGGGAGGCCGTTAACTTCATATAGATTCTCTTAACTGAAACATGTGGAGTAACTAGACTGGCCTGGTTTTCACAAAACAAGAGTTGCCTGGGTCAGGGCCTCTTTGACCCCCATGAGCCTGTGAACCACTTAGAGATCCTATTGGTTCTGTGTTGGTAGGGCCATGGTGGAAGTATCCACTCCTATGTGCTGTTGATCGTGGTCCGGACATCAGTTTTCTGTTCGTTCTTGGGAAACAGCAGTCTGCAGCATCCCCAAGGTTCCCTAGACATGAGAACCAACCAGACCTGATATCCTTGCAGGGACTTGACATTGTTTAAGTAAATGAACCAACTGTATGCTTGGGTGTCCTACCTGTCAGTGACACAATTGCTGTTCCTTCTCCATCGGAAGAATCAAGGTGAAAATACCTGTGGTTGGCCCTCCAGGGTGAGACCTAGCTAGTTTTAGGAAAATGAATGGCCATCAGAAAGCTGTTTGATCCTTGGGGCCTTAGGCATGTCATAGCTTTGTGACAAAGTTCAGAGACACAGGGAACCAGAACTGATCTTGCTCCCCCACTGCTAAGGAGAATAAACCGAAACTGGGCAGCTTCTCTCTGGTTCCTTCTCTGTCTGCCTCTGTTCTTCCTTTTTTCCTCAGTGTGAATAAGATCTCATGGTGGGGCTGGTGGGGGTCAGGAGAAGAGGTGGAGAAGGAACTGCTTTGGGGTCTTAGTCTCTTCTCTCTTCCCTTCTTGCTTTTCAGGGGTATTTTCAATGCTTCAAGATTTCCCACCCGCTTGTTGGAGCACTTCCTCCTGGGATCCCTTCCGTGTTCGGAATCCAAGTGCCAGACAGTGTCTTTCTGACCGGACGGCAACTTTGTGGAAGAGACACTGTGTCCCCATGACCCTCCATCTGTCTCAGCAGTGCCTGGGGTCTGGCTCCCTTCAGAGACACTACAGCTCCTACTCAGACCCTGACAGTCACTCAAAGTGCCTTAGCACAGGGTCCCAGGGCCATGATGTCCCCTCGGGTCCAGGGCCAACCTCAAATCAACTAACTCATGTGGATTCAGCAGGACGGGCAACTATGGTAGATGTGGGTGGGAAGCCAGAGACAGAGCGGGTAGCTGTGGCCTCTGCCATGGTTCTTCTTGGACCGGTGGCCTTCAAGCTTGTCCAGCAGAACCAACTGAAGAAGGGGGATGCTCTGGTGGTGGCCCAGCTGGCTGGCGTCCAGGCAGCCAAGCTAACTAGTCAGTTGATCCCCCTATGCCACCATGTGGCCCTGAGCCATGTGCAGGTACAGCTGGAGTTAGACAGCGCACGCCATGCTGTGCTGATCCAAGCATCCTGCCGGGCCCGGGGCCCCACCGGGGTAGAGATGGAGGCACTCACCTCGGCTGCTATGGCTGCCCTGACCATGTATGACATGTGCAAGGCAGTCAGCAGGGACATTGTGGTGACCGAGGTAAAGCTCATGAGCAAGACTGGAGGGCAGCGGGGGGACTTCCATCGGGCTTAGAGAGCCACACTCTCCAGTCATGTCTCCCGAGGGGATGTAATTGAAGCTGAGGAAAAGATGTCACATTCCTCCAAATCTAGTAATTAGACCTAGGGTCACCCTGTCTCTTTACCACTAACCCGTGAGGTGTCGTCAACAGAGGACACCTGAGGCCTTGACACCTTCCGGGACTCTGGCAATGGGAGTTTTGATACTGGATACCCAACACACACACACACACACACAACCCCATCATATTGCTCAGGTTGTTTCAGACAGACAACTTTAGGTTGCCCTTCTCATTTAGGGTCCTCTCTTCTCTCCCTGGGGAGAGAATAAGGGCTCATTAAGCAGAGGAACCCGCTTTGAGGAAGGAAAAGCACAAGCTCCCTAAAGAATGTATCACAGACTGCCTCCCCCCTACACACACACACACACACACACACACACACACACACTGGGCCTCTTCGACAGGATGCACACTTTGGACTACAACCCTAAGGACCTGTGCCAACATCTACCCACACCTGGTTTTGCTCGCTATGGACTGCCCATACCTCTCTACTCCGGCACGTATCAGGGAAAGAGGAGTTGAAGGTGACCTTTACCCTCACAGCGCACAAATAAAGCCACAATGCCAGCTTTGGAGATGAGGAGTAAGGACTCTTGTCTATCAAGAAGGCACCAAGTGCTCATTTTTAACCCATCAGCTACCATCTAAGACACTCCCTAAAGGGTGGGCCGGGGAAGAAGGACCCTAGAAAAGCCAAGGGACATATTCTCTGGACCTAGAGGCAAATCCAGAATGTATCCTAAGGCAATTTGACAGATGGGCGTCCCAGACTCAGTTGTATCTATCACGAGTGTTTGGAGATGAGGCTTGTGAAGTAGAGGCTCCCCAAACAGTGGCCTGGCATGACAGGTTCTCTAAGATCAGCGGCATTCTCTCTGCCGTGTATAGAGGTATTGTGATGGATGTTTAATCATTGGCTCTTTAGAAGATGAACAAGTTCCCGTGACAGAGTTCCCAACTCAAGCTAGCCACAAAACCTCAGATGTCTTGAAACAGTCCAGGAAATGTACGCTGGCACTCATGGAACTGGTAAGAGCTTACTTCAGCCTCCCACTGGCTCTGCCCACTCCAGCACAACCCACAATTTGAGTCCACACGGGAAGAAAAGTGTCTAGGCAGGTTAGGGGTGGGGACAAATTTAATATATTTTTTTAGTATTACAATATATTCTTATAAAAGGGTGCAGGTAGAAAGGACACTGTAGAGGTTTGTACATATAAACCTTGTCTGTCTTCTGCAGCAGTAGGTAAGAGCAGCCTTGGCATGAAGGTTGGCAGGTGTCCTGGGGAGGTGGTCGCAGTTCCCCAGCTGGTGGCAACAGGAGGGGATGGGAAGAGCCCATGCCTGTTTTCACCCACCTGGAGAGTTTTCCTTCCAACCCCTGAACAAACTTCCGTCTTGGGAGGGGAATTGCCACTGCAGAGACAGGATGTGTTGGCTGGACTATGAATTTTACATTGTGCACAAAACTAACGGGAACAGTTGGCCCACAGGTGGCAGGAGGGTTGGGTGGGTACTGGGGAGTAGACTTCATCATTTAACATTGAGGACCAGCCTATCCACCTCCACTGGGCACCAGTCACCCTGCTGAGTCACTCACAATGGTCCATGGTCCAAGGCACTGTTGGAATCTGGTTACAAAGACACACATCACTGGAGCCACTGGACAGCTATAGAAAATAATAAATACAGAAGGCAGATTTCTTTGGAGTGAGAAGGCTGGGCTCTGGAGAGATGCCAGGCAGCTTTACGGAAGAGCCAATGTGTCCTTTCAACAACTTCCATCTTCCTTATTTCTCCTGGTGCACGTACCATCTTCATGGTGGTTGGGAAGGCTAGGCTCAGCCATAAGTCAGGTGGCAGTGTAGTCCATCCCTGTCCCCTGCCCCTCGCGGGTCAGGCTGACATCCCAGCCAGTTTGGGAGAGAATATGAAGATGTCCAGCACCAGCCTTAACATTCTCATAGCTTGCTTCTCAAGGGGCAGGGTCGTGGAGAGGGTGAGGAGGTTCTTTGGATGTGCAGAGGACCGTCAAAGCTCTCCTCCACAGCCATTCTTAGAAGGCGTTTGTGCTCTCAGGCTGGCTTCTTCACACCAGACTGGCCGGGCCTCCGTTTGCTGAGATTCCCTTTCAAACCAATTCACGCTCCCAGCTTAGCCCTGTGTCTCTCCTCCCCACAGTTATTATGGTCCCACTCCCTGGGAATCTGCTGTAGGAAGACAGGCAGTGATAGGACCAGGATAGAGCAGCCCACAGTCACTGGCAATGACCTTGAGCCAGGGGGTTAGATGAGAAAAGCCAGGAGCTGGTGGATGGTAATCAGGCAAGACTGGTCTCAAGATGAGAGCACAGAAAGGTTCGTTTGACCATAAATCTTCATGGATTTGATCCCACTGCGCTCCGTTTAGAACATTTGCCTAGGTAGAGCAGTGGCACCTCACCAACACCATCAAAACAGCTGAAGATGGGTGGACAGGACAGAAGAAGAGTGTGGACAGAGGGCCAGAATGATCCCCTGCAGTGAGACTGAGGAACCAACAGCACAAATGTAGGGGCAAACCCTGGAGTCAGCATCCTACACAAGCGCTCCCTCCTCATCTCCTGGGCATCTCCTGCCTGCTCTTCTCAGTCTCCTGTCTATTTGTCCCCTTCAGAGTGACAGTTAAATATGGAGGATAGTTCTAGCCCTCAGAACTAATTCCCCGAGGCCAGCTGCAGCCTAGATCTGGAGCACCATGTGACCTGCAGGTGGAGACTGAGGCCACTGTGGCATAGCAAGGCTCAGCTGAGGGACATGATAGATGGGGCACTCTCAGGGGAGTGAAGCATTCGAGTGCTACCTTCTAGTGGGGATCTGGGGTCAGTCTCTCCAAGATAGTGGTCAGGTTACCTTGGGATTTGCTTTGGGGCCTATGCCTGAGTCTGGTGAGGTGATAACAGAAGTCTTTCCTGGGCACCTCTCCTCACCAGAACCACACTCTGAGCTGATGGTGAGCCAGAATTCTGGAAACCAGAGATGAATCTGGGGACCAGAAACTAGTCAATGGGATGGAGGTGGCCAGGGAAGAAGCGAAACACCAGGACTTGGTGTAGGAAAAAGGCACAGGTAGACAACTCACTTGCTGGCTCTGGTCCTGTTTTCTTTTTCTAGAACATTCTAGAGCTTGTCTAGCTAGAACACATAAAGTCGCTGGTTCCTATCCCAGATCCATGTTCCCTTGAGCTGTCTTTTCAGATAGGAGCCTACTGCTGGCTCTCGAGTTTCACTCTACCACCACAAAACGTTCAGACAGGAATATCTCCTGGGTCTTAAACAGCTCTGTGCCAACATGAGATGTGGAAAACAGTGTCACCCAGCCTGGGAGGGCCTGCCAGGGATGCCCAAGCTAGTCTTAGAGAATGATGGCCAGGAGGGGGAGGGGCACAGAGAGAGATGGACAGAACATGGACGAGAACGGGTAAAATACAGGCGACAAGAGAAGACCCCGTCAGTGCGGGAGACAACCGGTCTAGCCGCACACAGCCCCCAGGACCCAGCCCAGGGGCTCCCAAACCCAGTTTTCCAAATCTCTTAAGTCATTGCTTCTTCTATTCAACGCCTCTCCCCTAATCATTGTCTCCAGGCTTGCTGCTATGTGGTCAGTCCCCAGTCCCCAAGTCAATAATTTAGCCTGTTTATCGCCCGCTCGCGGGTGACCTCTGGGGCCTGGCTCCCAGGTCGCTTCCGGTTGCGTTTGAACTTGCTTAAGTCCTTGTCGAAAACTTCTCCAGAGCGCAAAGCTGACACTAAGTCATCGAACTCGCCGCTCTCCTCCAGGGAGCCGCTCGCCAAGACCTTCCGCTGCCTCTGCCATCTTTCTCTCTCTCGCTGTTCCTTCAACTGGGAGTGGAAAGGGGAGTCGACTCAGGGACACAGGCAAGCAGCCTGCAGCCCTCTTGGTCTAGGATGCTCGCCCTACCCTGGATGTACTTCCCTGCCAGGAACCACTCTTCCTCTTCCCAAGACGCTCCACCCTCCCCACCTTACATGGTCTCCCCCAAATTAGGAGTTCTGGGGCTAACAGCACCCCCCCCCCAGGGCCCCGGCCCCTGTTTTACCCCCCCGCCGCAGGAGCCCCTTCCCCAACACACTTCTTCTGCATGCTGCCCCCTGCCAGACCCAGACTCACCATGGATTCCATGCGTGCTCTCCGCTCATCCTCCTCCTTCCTCCTCCTCATGGCCTCTAGGTCCTGCCGGGCCTCCAAGAAGGCCTGCAAGAAGGTGTCGAAGATGCCAAAGAATTCATCTGGCTGCATCTTACTCTCCTGCTCTCCAAAGTGTATCAGTGCCTTGGCGAACTGTAAAAGATACAGGTAGAGGCATCATGAGTCCAAGGCTTGCTACAGTCTGTTAGCTTCCAGCTGAACCCAGTCCAATGGAAACTTTTTGTTTGTTTGGTTGTTTTTTTTTGGTTTTTCGAGACAGGGTTTCTCTGTATAGCCCTGGCTGTCCTGGAACTCACTCTGTAGACCAGGCTGGCCTCGAACTCAAAAATCTGCCTGCCTCTGCCTCCCAAGTGCTGGGATTAAAGGTGTGCACCATCACTGACTGGCTCACCAATGGAAACTTTAATCTATAATCTAAAATTCATTGGTTATTCATTCCTTGCTTACCCTGTTATTCCCCCTCCCCCCTAAAAAACCCCTATGAGGCCTACTTCTGGAGAAATAGGTTGAGACTATTTGACAGACAGTCTTCCTTTGTGCCACCTCTGGGTCTTTTGTAATGTAGATATGAGATCAGGGGGATGTTGACCAGAGTAAGACTTTTCTAACATCAGGAACTGCCTAGCTGGAATGGAGAAGGCTCTCACAGGTCACCTAGTCATCTGGTGACTCAGTTGATGGGTGACCTACTTAGCTCCTCTGAGACTCAACTTCTCCTGTAAAATGAGGATCAGTTTCGTGATGCTATTGTGGGAGTTAAGTGGGGTGACAGATAGAAGTGGCTGACTGTACTTGAAGCAGACACTGGTCTAGCCTTCTCTAAGCATAACCCACAATATCATCTAGGAAGCATATCACTACACATCTAGTCCTCCTGGACCAGAGGCCTATGCACCTTCTGGGAGTTTGTTGGAAACACTGGCTGTCCAGCCCCACCCTGGGTCTTCTGAATAAGAACCTCACACATGGGTCCATATGCATCCCCACAGAGGCACCTTCAAGATTGAGTTGGGTTTCCATGATGCTCACCCAAGTGACCAAAACCCTCTGATTCTCAGTGTTCATGTCTGTTGAGTGGGACTATAAACTTTCAGCAAACCTGTAAGGTAGGTAGGCTAGGAATCGTGAAACACTGGTGGTGGGCTGGGGTGGGGCTTATCCAGTAAAATGCTTGCCACGTAAGCGCCCTGGCTGAGTTTGATCTCAAGTACTTCAAGTCTGGGTGTGTTAGTATGATCTTAACACTGGGGAGATACAGGAAGATCTCTGAGACTTGTTGGCCAGCCAGTCTCCCCTAATCATTGAGCCCCAGGTCCTAGTGAGAGACTGTTGCGAAAAATAAGGTAGTCAGTGTTAGATATCGGATCATAGCTTAGGACAGATAACACCAGACCAAACGGTTCCACGATGGGGGTGTGGTAGGGGCAGGGAGAGGTTATTTAGAGCAGAGGGCAAAGGTAGGGAGAGAAACGGAAGAAGATGGCAGGGAGAAGAGAGAGCAAGGTCAGGGGGTTCTGCCTATTTATATGGACAGTGACGTAGCCTTTTCCCAGATAAAGGTGAGGCAGCCAGGTGGATTCTGGGAGTGTATGGCGGTTGCCTTGGCAACAACGTGGGGTCACCTGAATGTGATGTCACTGAGTTCGGGGCTGATACTACCAATCAGATCCCGAGGAATGACAGCAGAGCTTGACTTCTGACCCCCATATACGTGTGTACAGGATCACACACGCCAACATGCACACGTACATAAAAATGAAATTTAACAGTGTTGCTTACGGTGCCTGAAAGCCTAAGAAGTGGACCCAGATCTCTGCAGTATGAGGTTGTCATTGATTGCCTTGGGGGAGGGAGGAGATGGGAATTCTCTAGGGTCTGAGGCTCTGTGTTTGCCCATGTCCAAGTAGGACCAGGTGACGATGCCAGCTCTAGAAAGGGTGTGTCGAGGAGCAGTGGGGTCAGAGTAGACATCGGGCCATCTTTACCTTATCCCTGGCCTCATTCAGCTGGTCCTCCAGCTCTGAGAAACTGAAGCTAGACACTGTGATGAAGTCACTCATGACAGGGACGAACTTGTCGTTGGGGTCCCGTGCCTGGTGTCTCTGATATTCCAACTCCTGGGAAAAGAGAATAAAGCACATTTTAGACAGCTGGCACTCAGGGGCCACGGCATGCCTCTTGGCACCCACGGGACGTCACGCAAGCCTTTGGGAAAGATGACGCCTGGGGGTTTAATTCTAAAGGTAATGAGGACGTTGAGAATTGTTAGTCTGTACAGCTATCTGCACCCTTCCCTCGCCCATCACCACCACTGTGCTGTGGGCGGTGATCCAAACTCCAAGGGGCACTTTCCAGGACTGTCATAATGGAAACAACCACCCATGGCAGCACACAGATGGTCTTTGGACTCTTAAGTTTGCGGGAATTCCACTAAGATCAGGGACTAGACAAGGTTGCCCACTCTCCCCCTACCTATTCAATATAGTACTGGAAGTCTTAGCCAGAGCAATTAGACAGCAAAAAGAAGTCAAAGGGATACAAATAGGAAAGGAAGAAGTCAAAATATCGCTATTTGCAGATGATATGATAGTATACTTAAGTGATCCCCAAACTTCCACCAGAGAACTCCTAAACCTGATAAACAACTTCAGCAAAGTGGCTGGTTATAAAATCAACTCAAACAAATCAGTAGCCTTCCTCTACATGAAAGATAAACAGACTGAAAAAGAAATTAGGAAAATGACACCCTTCACAATAGTTGCAAATAATATAAAATACCTTGGTGTGAATCTAACCAAGCAAGTGAAAGACCTGTATGACAAGAACTTCAAGTCTCTGAAGAAAGAAATTGAAGAAGATCTCAGAAGATGGAAAGATCTCCCATGCTCATGGATTGGCAGGATTAATATAATAAAAATGGCCATCTTGCCAAAAGCAATCTACAGATTCAATGCAATCCCCATTAAAACCCCAACTCAATTCTTCACAGAGTTAGAAAAGGAAATTCTCAAATTCATATGGAATAACAAAAAACCCAGGATAGCGAAAACTATTCTCAACAATAAAAGAACTTCTGGAGGAATCACCATCCCTGACCTCAAGCTGTACTACAGAGCAATAGTGATAAAAACTACCTGGTATTGGTACAGAGACAGGCAGGAAGATCAATGGAATAGAATTGAAGACCCAGAAATGAACCCACACTCCTATGGTCACTTGATCTTTGACAAAGGAGCTAAAACTGTCCAGTGGAAAAAGGACAGCATTTTCAACAAATGGTGCTGGTTCAACTGGAAGACAACATGTAGAAGAATGAAAATTGATCCATTCTTATCCCCTTGTACAAAGCTCAAGTCTAAGTGGATAAAGGACCTCCACATAAAACCAGATACACTGAAACTAATAGAAGAGAAGGTGGGGAAAAGCCTCGAATACTTGGGCACAGGGGAAAAGTTCCTGAACAGAACTCCAATGGCATATGCTCTAAGATCGAGAATTGACAAATGGGACTTCATAAAATTGCAAAGTTTCTGTAAGGCAAAGGACACTGTCAATAGGACAAAACGACAACCAACAAATTGGGAAAAGATCTTTACCAATCCTTCATCTGATAGAGGGCTAATATCCAATATATACAAAGAACTCAAGAAATTAGACTCCAGACAACCAAATTACCCTATTAAAAAATGGGGTATAGAGCTTAACAAAGAATTTTCAACGGAAGAAACTCGAATGGCCGAGAAGCATCTAAAGAAATGTTCAGCATCCTTAGTCGTCAGGGAAATGCAAATCAAAACAACCCTGAGATTCCATCTCACACCAGTCAGAATGGCTAAGATTAAAAACTCAGGTGATAGTAGATGCTGGCGAGGGTGTGGAGAAAGAGGAACACTCCTCCATTGTTGGTGGGACTGCAAGATGGTGCAACCACTTTGGAAATCAGTCTGGCGGTTCCTCAGAAAATTGGACATAGCATTACCCGAGGATCCAGCTATACCACTCCTAGGCATATACCCAGAAGATGCTCGAACATATAACAAGGACATATGCTCAACTATGTTCATAGCAGCCTTATTTATAATAGCCAGGAGCTGGAAAGAACCCAGATGTCCTTCAACTGAGGAATGGATTCAAAAAATGTGGTATATTTACACAATGGAGTATTACTCAGCTATTAAAAACAATGAATTCGAGAGGTTCCTAGGTAAATGAATGGAACTAGAAATTATCATCCTGAGTGAGGTAAGCCAATCACAAAAGAACACACATGGTATTCACTCACTGATTATTGGATATTAGCCTAGAACCTTGAAATGCCCAAGATGCAACTCACAGGCCACATGAAGCCCATAAAGAAGGAAGACCAAGTGAGGGTGATTTGGTCCTTCTTAGAAGGAGCAACAAAATACTCAAGGGAGCAAATATGGAGACAAAGTGAGGGACAGAAATTGAAGGAGGGGCCGTCTCAAGACCACTCCACCTGAGTATCTATCCCATGTGCAATCACCAAAGGTAGATGCTGATGTGGAAGACAGGAAGTGCATGCTGATAAGAGCCTGATATGGATATCTCCTCAGAGGCCTTCAAGAGTCAGACATATTCAGAGGCAGATGCTCACAACTAGCCATTGAACTGATCATGGGGTTCTCAATAGAGGAGTTAGAGTGAAGACTGAAGGAGCTGAAAGGATTTACAGCACCATGAAGAGAGCAACAATACCAACCAACCACAGCTCCCAGGGTCTAAACCACCAGCCTGGGAGCACTTAGGGGGGGATCCAGGGCATCAGCTGAATATGTAAAAGTGGAGGGCCCTGCTGGGCATAGGTGGAAGAAGAGAACCTTGACCTCATGAAGGCTGGATGCCCCAGGGGGTGGGAATTTTGAGGGTGGGGAGGTGGGAGTGGGGGGTGGTAGATAGAGGTTACATCCACAGAGAAGAAGGAGGAGGGGCGAGGGGATTGGGGGTTCCGAGGGGGTGGTGGGGGATGGGGTAAGGGGACAACATAGGAAATGTAAATAAATCATCCAATAAAAAAAAATAAAAGTTTGCAGGAATTCTCCAGTTCTCAAGTACGAGGGTCAAGGAATGAGTTGAGAATATCCTAGAGAGTGCATCAGCTATGAAGATATGTGAACGGCAATGGCTGTTAAAGGGCCAGAGCCCAGTGCTGGGATCCAGTGTTTGCACTGTCTCGATAGTCCTGTATTGAGATCCTAAGGTGAAGCAGGGATGTGGGATCTCAGAGGTGAATGCAAGCTTGTGACATTGTGACAAAATATTGTCGTCTACAAAGCACACACGTGGAAGTGCAAAACCAAGGTAGGAAAATATCATCGTAAAAACTTCATACTGTCTTAAGTAAGTTTGTGGTTTTGGGTCAGCCCCATGCATAGCTCTCCTGGGGTGCATGTAGCCTGCAGGACATGGGTTGGACACTCCTATCAAGTGACTAAGCCATAAGGCTTTTGTAAATGGGGTTAGTAGCCCTATATAAGGGTCTCAGGGAAGTCTGTCCTTTGTAGCAGGTGAGGACACAGTGGGAAGCTGCAACCCAAGAACACCAGGCCCTCAGTGGACATTGGTCCTGCCAGCACTTTGGTCTTGAAAGACTCACCCTGCAAAATTATAAGAGGTAAATAAATGTCTTTTGTTCATACAAGCCGTCCCACTGATTTGTTTTAGCCACTTCAAAGGACTAAAATACCAAAGTTCCCATCCATGAGCAAGCCCGCAGAGCCTCCACTAGTTCAGGCATGAAGGGAAAGGATGTAGGGTGGGCTATTTCAGGGGATGCAGTTCCCCATTGCCACACGGCTGGACACCCTCTGTAGTCAGCAAACCTTCCTATTCACTATGGTCAAACACGAGCGTGTGACACTCTTAGGGCTAAGTCCAACATGTGGACATCTCCCAGTGACATAGAGACAGTCTCGGACAGACAGCCCCTCTTTGAGGGTCTAAAGGTAAACCCCAAGTAGGTGAATAACTTTTCCTGAAGGCTCTCTTCACTGCTGTTGTCTCTCCTTCTCATTCAGGAGCCTCAGGTCATCAAAATGCACCACACAGGGCTTCCTCTGTCTGAGATGTGTGTGTATTGTGTTGGGATGGGCACTGGACCCAGCGATGGAGTAACATTAGCTTTTCCTTGGACAGTTTTCCCCACCAAGTCCAACATGCACTTACCACCTCCACTGCTCTGAGGCCCCTCCTGAGAGTGCCCACCTCCTTCTCCAGCTCTGCCAGGCTATAGGAGACAAGGGAAGAGAAGAATCTATCAGCTCTGGATGTGAGGGGCTAGGGATGGTTCAGAGAAAGGGCAGCTTGAAACACTGTGGCCTTGATTCCCAGTCCTGCTTAGTCCCCTGACATGTGGCTCTGGCATGTCACTGCCCTGTGTGCCTGTTGACAACTCTGTAGAGTGTCAGTAGAAAGCTCTACTCCATAGATCCAGATGCTAGTGTGTGTGTGTGTGTGTGTGTGTGTGTGTGTGTGTGTCTGTGTGTCTGTGTCTATGTCTGTGTGTCCAAGCATGTCGAAGTTATCAGACATTGGGGTCGATTCTTAGGAGCTGTCTAGTTTTTTGTTGTTGTTTTGTGTTTTTTGTTTTGTTTTGTTATTGGCTTGGGTTCTAGGTTTGGCACTCAGACTCTCATGTTACCTGTGGAACTATCCCCCAAGCTCTATTAACTTTCTTCACACTTGTGTATGGCTTGGGTTTCTTTCTTTTAATTACGATTCGGCAGTGTCTACCATCATTTAACAACGTGTCTCTCCTAAGTCATATGTTGATGGGACTTGGAGGTAGAGCTTTGGAGGTATAGTTTTGATCTGATGAGGTCAGTCATGAGGGTGGAGCACCCAAGACGGGACTGTGACCTTTCATTCTCTGTCGTAGCCTGGGATGTCACTGCCATGCTACAGTAGCAGATGCTAAGCAGATCATAGCACCGTGCTGTTAGACTTCCAGTCCCACAGAGCCATGTGTCAAATACACTTCTAATTCTTATAACTTGCCAAGTCTCTGGTGTTTTGTTAGAGCACAGAGTATCTCACATAAGGTTTGATAGCTGTTACCCTTAATGTTTCTGTTTTTCACCAACCACAGATAAGTCTCATGGCCTTAGCAGATGCTGTGGATGTCCTGCCCACTATAGTTCAGGATCTCCATTCTTCCAACTGACTGGGCTTTTTTTTTTTTTAATGTGTTCATTTTAAAGTTCTCTCCCTCTCCCTCTCCCTCTCCCTCTC